ACAAATCGAAGTAAAAACATTAAAGATTATTAACTATTTTTTCATTGAAGCATTTTATCGAACACATGGAGGCCATGACAGAATGTTATTCTTTGTAAATTCATGAGTATGAATTTAATTCAAAGAATGAGTTTACTGCACCTGTTGATTCTGTAAGAATACGAAATTCAGTGTGAATGAAACTCAAACAAATAAAATATGAAATTCAACATGAAAAATTACGTAAAATTATAAAAAAAAATAAAAAAAATAGTTTGACGATGATCACCAAATAATAAATTTGATAGTTTAAAGTCAAATATTAAATTTGATAGTTGCTTACAATTATCACAAATTAGTTGTTTCAAGGTTCTATAAAAATTATAAATATATTATTAAACATACAGATTTTATTATCATTATACAATTTTAAAAACATTTTGATTTGGAACCATACCTAACAAGTGACCCAAAAGTTCATGGACTTATGACACCTTTTTTAATGAAGATGAAGAAACGAGATTAGATTTCAATTTTCAATTTCATGGAAAATTCTAGACACGATCAAAATTCTCTCATTTATGGCTTCGAGTTATTTTCAAAAACGCATTTTGATTTAGAATCACAAATCAAGTTTGCCTCAGAGTGCATAATCGGAAATCAATTAACATATTATTCTCAAAAGATGGAGTAAATTACAAAAACATAAACAAAGTTCAAGAAGATACATGTCTAGAATTTTGCAACAAATCAACTTATCTGTTGTCTGAAGGTTGTGGTGTCGGTGTACGGAGGCAAGTGCGGACGTATTCCGGCGATAAAAGCATGAGCACCGGCTGTGACTAGGGAAGACGAAGAAGCTGTGGATGTCGATGATGCTGAACAATTGTGATGTCGGTCGATGATTTTGTAGGGTTTCAAAATTGATTTTCCTAATTTAAGGGGATATTAAATGTTTTGAATATTTTCTATAATTAAATATGGCATAGATTACTATTATACCCTCAAACAATTTATTAATTATTTAATATTTTGCTAATTTGTGATTGGTGCATTCATGCACATAATAGTTGTCAAAAACATTTGAACCTAATTCTCTCTATATATATATATATATATATATATATATATATATATATATATATATTAAATTACAATTAATTATTTATTTATTTGACCGCAACAGAAAACCACTTACAATATGAAATTCGTTATGGTGGCAAAGTGGAAATAAATAAATAAATTGTAAGGGCCATGAAATATGTTTTTGGAAAAAAACAATTCCTTTTTTTCATAGTGAAAATATGATGGAAACAATTGCATCCAATTTTCCAACAGTATCAAATTCGTTATGGTGGCAAATTGGATATAAATAAATAAGATGTAAGGGACATAAATTAATGGAAAATTATATGTAATTGTTTGCATCATATTTTCACTATGAAAAGAAAGAACTGTTGATGTCAAAAACATATTTCATGAGTCACTGAGTCTTAGATTTAGTGGCTTTGTGGGTAATTATCATCAGGATGGAGGATGTTGTGTTCATTGAAGAAACAATAAAATAAGTTTTACCTTTTCTTCTGTCGTGAGTTCTTTTCTTGTTTCTCCTTGCTTTGGCCAAAGTTTTAGCACGTAATTAACTGATAGAGACATAAAAAATTAAACCAAATGGAACATTAACAATGAAGCAGTAAGATGTTTTTCCGATTATGGTGGCCCGATAGTTCACTGATTTAGGGTTTTCTTCAAAATACATATCCAAACGTCTCCATAATACCTAACTCTTCAAATATCATATGGAAAAAGTCCAATTGGATCGTAGTTGGTTATTCCAAATGCGATCTGATGCATTGGGCCGTATGACAAATTAAAGCCCATTGTAGGGCTTTATTTTAACTTTTGTAATACTGTACTACTGTAGTTATAATTCTAATTTTAAAAAGAATAAATTTTATAGAAACTATTGTACTTTGTTTGTTTATTGTTCAACTACGGAAAGATTCTTTAACTTTTACCTATTGAGAGTTTATTCTTTTAAATCACTTAATATAGCTTTGAATTCTATAAAAACAACTACAATTTGAAATTTATCCGGTGTAACAACTTACAAGCTAAATTTACGATTTAACCATCAAAATTTTGATTTAAAGAAGATATCTTTAACCAGGTAATAATCATTATTTTATGAAATTCATTATCTAGAAAAAAAACTTACAATGGTTTCTTTTATAAAGAAACTCTCAATCTATATATATATATATATATATATATATATATATATATATATATATATATATATATATATATATATTGTGTGGATGTACATATATTGTGTGGATGTAGGAACCAATCAGAATGTGGATGTACATATATTGTGTGGATGTAGGAACCAATCAGAATTTAGCAAAAATTAAATCATTAATTAAATCAATAAGGGTATATTAGTAATATTACATATATATTTATTAATGTCGGTCACATTGTTTCTCACCGGCATCGACATCCATTACACACCCTACTGTGGCCACCCCTCTCAACATACCTCACCGTTCTTGTCGGTATTCAGTTACTCTCGATTACAAAAAAAAAAAACGTGGCCTGTAAGTTCCCATAATTTAAATCATATTCATTCCGCTCTTCTCATTATCGATCGTCATAAACCCATTTCCCAATAGTTGCGTTCAGTGGCGGATACAACCACTTTTAGTGGGGTGTCTTGCCCCCACTTAAAAGGGTGTACCACCATATATACTATATGCAAAAAATAGTTTTTTTTAGAAAAATTTACATATATGGTCCCCACTTTAACATTTTTTGCACCCAATTTGCCTAAAAATCAGAAGAAAAAAAACGTGAAAGTTAACTATATAATTACTGTTATTTATGTATTAATTAATTTTTATACAAAATGGTCCCACTACACCGAAGTTCTGGATCCGCCACTGGTTGCGCTGCGTACTTGGGTTTTTCTGATTTTTAATTTGGATTTTACAACATCTCTATTCGATTATCAAATTTAATTAGAACAACCCACATGGGTTTTTTCTCCCGTGAAGTATTTTATCTATGAAGTTCTAGTTAGTATAACTATATGGAAAGAATACCAAGTTCAATTGCCGATGCAGTAAATGATTTTTTATGGGATTCTTATACATAAGTTCTTGTTTTAAGAAGAAATCTCATGCATATATTAGTGTTTGTTTGAAGTTAAAGTTAAATTTTTTTTATATATTTATATATGTTGTTTTAGCCGACAATCCCATTACAAAAAACTTGTATAAACTGCGTCAATTGATTTTCATTTCATATTGTTTTTTTGGTGATGCAAATCATCCGCTCGATGAAATGTTTGACCCAAATATTATTTCTTATTTTTTATTTGAAAAACCCAAAATACTCATAAAGTTCGTTTTTTAAAAATGGAGCTCTGTCATCAATTGGTTGATTATACCTCTGTCATGATATTTTAATCTTTTTGCATTTCTAAAATATAAAAGTATAGATTTAGCACACTTTTAATTATTAAAAATTATGAAATCCAACAACATCAATGGAATTCTTTACTATATTCATCGAGTCCTTGAAGAAGCAGGCATCGATGTTCTCTTAACAATTTCATTGTTTGTCAAACACATTAAACCTTCACTCCTCTTTATCTCTTGTTATTACCTTTTACCAATGACAGTTCTGAAGAAAAGAACGGCGCTCTTAATTAAAAACTTACAAGAGATAAAGGCTGTAAGTTTCATTTTTCTGTTTTAGTGAAGTTGCACTTAATATTCTTTAGGCATGTAATGATGAACTCTCATGGGTGAAATGTGCATCAATATCTCCTCTTTCCTTAGGTTCATGACCTTATGTTTAGTGGTCTTTCACCAAATTATCTTGCTTCTGTTTTCCATTTATTTTATTAGTCTTTACGTAGTGAAACTTAGAATCTCATTCAATTTAGATTGATGATTTTAGGATAAAAGCAGTTGACTCAAGCCTAACCATACAATATTAACAACAAGTTAAGTGATTTATTCTTAAATAATAAAAACAAATGCAAAAAGTGGTCAGTGGTGTTATCCCATTTTATCAAATTTCATTTTATAGTATTTGTTCTTTAAACATTTAACATCTTTTGGATTTCACCTAGAATTTCTTTTACATTCTAACAGAATATGATATCCAGAACACGTGTTTTATGTAATACTCAGATTTTCACAGAATGCCTATTATTCTGTTTGCAGGTCAATGATAGAGTATTATTTAAAAAATGAATCCTTTTTACGTGTTACATTACATAAATATTGGAAACAAACCAAGAGCAAATGAGGATTCTTCAAGAATTTCAAGAATGTTTTTTTAAAATTTTTTTTATTCATTTGATGTATTTCAGTTTATAATTGTATTTTTAATTTCATTCGTATAAAAGTGTAAACAGATTCGACAAGAATATATCATTTACATTAACATTTTTACCTTTCAAATGCAATGTTATTCTGCAAAATTTGTATTCTAACATTCTCATAGAATATCATTCTGTTAGAATGTCATTCTAGCTGAGTAAAAAATCGGGTAAAATTAAAAGTAACGTTAAAATTAAAATTGAATTAATTAAAAAAATCATAATTCAAAATAAAAAGAATCAAATATCCTTTCAATTTCGAAAATTTCATATATTAAGCTTATGTTTCCTAATTTGAAGATATTACAAATGTACAATATTACCCTTTTTTAATTAAATGACATATATTCTATTTTCTTTAAATCAAGGTTGCAAAAAACGCTCGACGTAGGCTCAGCGGTGGACTGAGATCAATGGATTAATCGGCTAGGCGGGGATTAATCGGGGGATTAATCGGAGACCATTAATTATTAAAATAATTATTAAAAATTTTAACAAATATAACATTCATCTTATGAATATAACATTAAACATAAAGTTAATAAATATAACCATATAAATTAAAAAAAAGTATTAAAACTTTAATAAATAGAACATTATAACATGAAACTATGATTACAAAAAAGCCCCTTTGATCCTTAATACATCAAATCTAAATAAAGTCATTAACATGCATTATGTTATCCAATATGGTTGGTTAGTTCCAACAACACTACAATATAGGAACATAACATGGTCTAGGGTCTCTTCTTTGATGGCAGATGGCACCATTATGGGAACATCCATCTAGGGAGGGGTCTTCTTTAACTGAAATGATCACTTTATTGTAAAAAAACAATAGCTTTACAACTTAACAACTACAGACTTTTAAAATAGCAAACACAGTTTAACAACATAAGTTCCCAAATTCATGATAGTGGATCCCTAGTAGCAACCTTGCATCATCCTCTGAAGCACAACCAAACAAAAGAAATGGACTTTATTTCGCATACAGTCAACCAAACAGAACAGAAGAAAAGATCATATAAAAGTTCATTGCCAACCAAACCAAACAGAAGATAAGAAGAAAGTGATTGGCAGTAATGGTGTGTCTTATTTCGTCTGGTATTTGTTGTGTTGGTATGGTAGTTGGTTGGTGATGTACCATGGAGCAAGAGGCATAACTATGTATGTTGTTGGAGTTGTCATCACCTATGGTGGAGTGTAAGTTTTTTTGTTGTGTTATTTCATCAAACAGGTTGTCTACATTATTATACCTGCATATCTTGTTTTTTTTTAAATGGACTTTAAGAGTAGATTAACAACTTAACACTTTATCTAATAACATTGTTTTGAACAAAATAAATAGTTAAAGACTATGTATACATAAAACATAAACACCTAATTCATGCTGTTGACACTTGACAGTTAACACCCATTAAGGCATGGTGCATCAATAATGTTGGACAACTCATAATTTTGACCAATTAAAACATTGAAACCTGTATAAATCGAACTTTGAGACAAACAATTTTGACCAATAAGAACATTGACCACAAATCAAATATATCTTAACAGTCAACAGGGGAAGAAAAGTAGCATACTAGCAAAGAATAAGACCAGGACCGAGTCCAGAAGTACTAACCATCATAGATGTCGAGGAGTGTTGGAGGGATTCCGGAGAAGCAGACAAGGTCGGAAGAGAAAGAACCTTAACAGATGAAGAGGGTGTCAGAGGGATTACGAAGAAGCAGCTCCATCGACCTCACCCTAGCACCGACTTTGAATGGAGAATGCGAAATCTTGCTTGGAAGGCGACGGATTACCGACGTACCATAGCGGAATGAAGACAACGTGCTTCCACAATGAAGAAGTCGGCGTTTCAGTTCATGCATCGTTATCTTTGAGTTGGGTGAGAGATTACACTGAGAAATTGTAAGAGAATGCGATGGAATGATGAGTGGGAACAAACCCTAGAAATGGATCGACAAATTTGCCCCGGAAATTTGGTTTTCCGCACTTCAAAATTTTTGAATTCCCGTTGACCGAGTTTGAGCGATTATGGCGTCTAGCTCTGCCTAACGCCGCCTAGGTCCGGTTTTGACCAACCGCGATTAGATTGGGCGATTAGGTAAAAACGTTATCAGTTAGGACCGCCAAGCGCCTAGGCGGCGATTAATCGGCCGCCTAGACCTATTTTTGCAACATTGCTTTAAATTAATAATATTGGTAAATCAATTTCTTAAAATAACCAAAACCATTGCTCCATATTCATCCCTACATCCACACAATAGATGTCATCCACATTATAACCTAACATTATTTATATATATATATATATATATATATATATATATATATATAGGTTTCGTTGAGATTAAAAATAAAATAGAGATATTAAGATTCAACCTCAACCACATATTTCACATCTGCCGCTCTAACCCTCCGGCATACCGGCGCGGCATGCCTTTTATTAATATAAATAATTATATAGCTCTGCCCGTTCATTTCTCCTACGCTACCATCCCCACCACCTCTGACACCAACTGACCCCACCACTGTCACCTCCATCACTTATACCACCGCAACTTCTGTCACCACCACCTCTTCTGCTACCAACTGTCATAATCATATATGATTACTCAGTCTGTGAACTGACATATGTGTATAGTCATTTATGATTAAGCATATACATATAAACATACATAATCATATATGATTATGCCTCTCTTCCATAAAATAATTTAAGATTAGGCATACCCCTCTGTTGCCGATACGCTGGAGCGTTAGAGCGGCAAATGAGAAATATGTGGCTGATGTTGAATCTCAAGATCTCTATTTTTTTTAATCTCAAGTGAACCGTCCCATATATATATATATATATATATATATATATATATATATATATATATACAACGAACTCTAAAAATGAGAGCAAACCAACGAACTTTTCCTAGATTCATTACATTACCGAAAACCACAACAACCTCCGATTTCTACATAAACAAACAACGTATATAACGATTACAACCTGTATTCAAAGATTTGTGATGAAATTTGGTCAATTTTCTGTGAAACAAAAATATAAGAAAAAAAGTATTGCATCAATCAAATGCATATGTTTTTATTTGGGTTTTTGTTTTTATTTATTGGCTTTGATTAATTTTTGCTGGAAAGCATACCCATTGACGAAGTTATGGAGAATTTAAGATACGTGTAGTGGTGATGTTGTCAATGACTAGCGTCGATAAGATTAGTACGAATCGAAATGACACAAAAGTCACATAAGTACAGGGTGCAATCCTTATTCTATGTCTCTTAAATTTCGTGCTTCCACCTATATACACACGTTTCTCTTATTTCTTGAACTAGATGCTTGAGATGGGATGGTTTTAGATATACTCATAGATTCTTAGGCTTGAAAAAGTGAAAAACGAGTCGTGTACTACAGGTGTTTGATGAAATGTTTTAGTGAACATTTTCACTTGGTCAGTTCATTTTTACATCGATTGTGTGTGTGAATCCTCTTTTTGGTCGAGCACACAAAAAGAACGCAACCTTATTTCTTTTCTTTCTCATTTTAGGAAGCATTCCAACAAATATTATAAAACCTGGGCAATGCGTGAAAAAGACCAATATACTCTTACTTCCTTGTCTTAGGATAATTTCACAGTAAAATTTATTATTTTTCCCTATCTTTTCAGCTTCGTAGCTCGGCCATACGAACTCTGATTGGGGAAAACCTTATATCATTGGAAAGCTTGTTAGAATTACTACAAGTTCCATATTATTTGTTTCCTAGAACGGGAATTATTCAGCAGTGAACATGGCAAGTTGGAATATTACAACATTTCAAGTGTTTGAACAACCAACATCAAACGACCATATCTCACTCATTACATATCCACTTTGTCTGATTCTTTTTCCTGTGTACTCTTCGTTTTATAGACTACAACTTATATTTATAATGTTCTTTATATATAGCTATGAATATCAACTTATTAAGCTCCAAAGGTGACACGTTACAACTGTCAAATTCCCAAATAAGCTTTTCATTATTTTTTGTCCAAATTTGCAACCTATTTAAAAAAACATATTTCATCTTAATCGCAAGTACTAAATTGTATGGTTAAAATGATGATGGAAAGAAATAGTGATATATATTTTTGAAATAACAATTATTAACACTACTCTTGACATAAAAAAACCGTATAAATTGTTTAGATTCATAACTAAATCGTTGTTAAGTTGTTTTAGAATTAGCGATCCAAATGAATTTATACATTTTTTTATGTCATGAGTAGTGTTAATTATTATTATTTCAAAGACATAAAAAATATATTTTTACGAAAACATATTTTTTATACGAAAACGTATTTTTTGAAGACAAAAAAATATATTTTATGTAAAATAATTACATAAAAATAGATACAAAATGTTTTTAAAAAACTATTTTTTTATATTACGACTAAAATACATTTTCTTTTATTTTAAAAAAAAATTATGTAAAAAAGGTTTTTTGTAATTTATTTATTATTTATGTTTTAACAATTTTGTTATTATATAAAGTAGTTTTAGGAAAAAAAAAACCAAGAGAGCATGAAAGACTATCTAAACGGTATCGACGAGGATATCTGTAAATGTATCGTTGATGAAGTCCGTTCTCTGACTGTGTTACAAAAATGTTGGAACTTCTGCTTCTATTGCAGATGTTGCTCAACAAGCAGAGAAACAAAAGAAAAACGAGAAAAGATGCTTGCGTGAACTTCGTGGTGCTCTTCCACCGGTGGTTTACAACTATGTGCGTAGTTGCAAGACATCAAAGGAAATTTGGGACAGATTGAAGGAGAAATACCAAGGTAGTGAGAAAACAAAGATAAGCTCAGTTAAGCAGTGTCTGCTTGAGTTGGGAGAATTCAAGCAGAAAGAAGGGGAATCCATTGAGCTCTATTACGATCGTCAGAATGAACTAATCTACAAATGTAACATATATGGAGTCACAAGGTCAACAATGGAGGTCAACTTAACTTTCATCATGGGGCTTCGCAAGGAATGGCGTAATGTCAGCTTAATGATAAAAACTCAACAAAGTTTCGACTAGTTTTCTCTCAATGATCTCTATAATGTGTTGAAGGCGCATGAAAGTGAAGTAAATGAGATAGCTGAGGAAACAAGAATTGGTTTCGGTGGTCCTTTAGCACTGATGTCGAAGGTTGCTAGTAGAGAAGCTGAGAAAGAGACTGCAGAAAATGAGGGCTCGGAAGATGAAGGTTTGATCGTCAATTCCGATGACGAAGCGCTGGCTTTTTACCCCAATAATCGAGTGAAGAAATTCTTCAAAAAGCCATTTAATTCAAAGTCAAGAACAAGTGAGATGAAAGGAAGTTCTTCTGGGAAGAATGTGAATGAGGAGAATAGAGTAGAGAAAAAGGATGTGAAGACTGAGGAAGCGAAAATAGAGAAGAAGATCAAGGGAGATTCAGGGTTCGACTATCATTATTACAATGGAGCGAACCACATGGCAAGTGATTGCATGCTGAGAAAGAGAGATGAGAAGAAGAGTAGAGCCAAGGATGAAGCCTACTACGTAGAGAGGCTTGAAGAAGTGAGAGCTAAAACTAAGGGAATGTCTTTGGTTGCGAAGGGAATGGATGATGAGGAGGGGACGTATAAAATCTGGTCGTCAGGATAAGATGACGAGGAGATGCGAAAACCGACTCATGGAGCAATGTTCGCAAGGTTTGAAGAAGAGGATGAGGAGAATGTTACAGGGAAATGCTTTGCTTCGACCACTGCTCATAAATCTCCCATGACTTCCCATGTACATTCTCTTTTCGAATCATTTAATATTCCTTCTAGAGAATATAATTCGATTTTATCTGAGTTTGATGAAGCAATTACATATGTTAATGATCTGCTTATTTCTGCTAGTAGTGATGATGAAAGGTCCAAAACTTTATTTCTAGAAACTCAGAGGATTTTGGCGGTCAAGAAGTCTAAGATAGAAAGTTTAGATTTACAATTGACGAATAGCATGTGTGATAGAGATAACCTTAGAACTGATAATAGTATTTTGCATAAACAACAAAATATATACTGTAATTCGGCTAAACATTTATATGGAAAATTGACTGCATTGCATCATTCGTCAGACATTAGCAAAGAACATCATAGGAAGCTTTTTCCCTTTTTAGCCTTTGAAAGGGAGAAAATTGATTCGACTTCCAATGACTGTGAAAAGAAAATATCTGAGTTTGACAAGGTCCCAATAGATTCATATGCATATAGTGTTGTTAGAATTGATGAATGTTTAGATGCAAATGATCTTGCTGATATTGTGAATGAGACCTTGACCAAAATCAAACAAATAAAATTTTTGAAAAGAACTGAGAATTCGACATCTAACTCTCAAAACAATTTTGCTGATATAGAAGATGAATCTGATGATATCAGTGACATTGAGGAGGAGAAAGTTGTTGATTGTTTGAAAGTTATCAGTCATTAATGTCACTTCAATGGTTAAGGGTAAGGAAATTTGTAATGATTCTCGGTTAAAGTTGACACTGACCAACCCTCAACTTCGAAAGTTCATGATCTTGACCATGTAACTGTCGAAGATAGTCAAATAGACAATGATGATGATAATGATGATCTTCCAAAAGAAACAACCATACCTCGGGTTGTAATTGATAAGGTCTATAAGGAAACTGAGAAATTCAAAAAATTATTGAAGGAGAAAGGTCCACCTTATCTCGAAACGAATTTAGTTGTTTATCCCAACTTCAAATGCACAAATAATGTGTAACACCCTGTTCTAAAATATTCATTTATGGATTTCAAAAGACAAGGCTAGGGGCATTTTGGTCATTTATGGGCTTTGAGTTTTATTCGAGAA